CGGCCATGGAAATCTACTGGGTGACCTTGGGCAAGTCACACTCTTTCAGCCTCAACGGAAGGCATTGGCAAACCTCTGAACAAATTTTGCCAAGAAAACCCCGTGATAAGTTCAGTTTAGGGTCTCCATAAGTTGGAAACAGCTTGAAGACAAACAACAACAAACATTAAAAACAACTAAAACATGCAAAAAATAATAATAAAAAGCAGCTAGTTAAAGATGGTGCAGCGCCCAATTACAATCCCGTTTAGAAGTTCTCAAAAACCTGCCAGTCTACAGTCTTTGCCTGTCAATGGAAAGATAGCAAGGAGGCAGTCACTTTAACCCCCCTAGGAAGAAAATTCCCAAACTTAGAGCCCACCAGTGAGAAGCCCTGTCCTGAAGACATATAAATCACATATCCACATCTGTTCCCTTGGTCTAATGCAATTTTTAGAATTATTTCATTAGAACCTTCTTACCCTGCAGCTCCCCTGTAGTTACTTGGCTGTGTATGTCAAGCTTTTTCTATCAAACTGCCATGGACCCTCCTTAACCACACTTGCTCTGGTGGAAGTGCTCATGAACATTTTGTGATATCAAGCAGTTGCAAAAATGACTTCTTGATGTGCTTGTGAGTGAGTGTGTGTGTGTGTGTGTGTGTGAGAGAGAGAGAGAGAGAGAGAGAGATGCTGCTGAAAGAAGTCATTGCTAGTGGCTCATTGTGGGTGGGTATATATGTGCATTTATGAAATGATTGTATGATTATTTTCTCCACTGCTCCCATCCTGTCTCCAACATCTCTTTCCAAAGCTGAGGAATAATTAGCTACATGTTATTAATTATTAACAGCACTATGGAGACCTCTTCTTTCTCTCTTATGTCAGAATATTTTATCCCTGAGGGTTAAAAAATTATTATAAAGAGGAGAAATGGAGAAATAGTCCCTTCGCACATAAATACTGGACTGCAGTATACATTGTTAAGCAAACCTTGACTGCAGTATAAATTGACAACTATAGTTAATATTATTGTGTGCTTCCCAAAGATTTCTTGATGAGAGGCTGTAAAAAGACTTTCCTGCAACATACTTGGTGATGCCTATGTTCCATGGCAAGCTTTCATCAGGATGCAGTTGTCCAGTTGTCATCGAATGGAAGGCATTCTTACAGCCCAATGGAAAAATGTTTCCTTGGAAGTCAAGTCCCTGATGACTTACTTCTCAGCAAATATATTAATGATCAGGCTATTAATTTTGTTCCAGTTCCTCCAGCCAAAATAGAATAACAACAACAAGAAGATTTACTGCTATGGCTCTGTTTCTACACTGTCACAGCTTTCTACACAGTCACATCTTTACATTTTCATTGACCCATTAGAATCTGTCTGGTCTGGAGTGTGCCAATGGAGTGTGCCATGCAGAAAAATCCAGAGCTTGGAAAGTTACTTGGAATAAGAATGAATATAGATGCCAAAGCTGTTTATAACTGAGTAGTCTTAAAATGATTATCTGGGTCCCAGAGCACCATCCTGCTGTTGCTTAGGGTGCATCTAAACTGTATATGCAGTTTGACACCACTTTAAGAACTGTTAGACC